TCACGCCGGAGATGGTAATGAAGCTTTACATGAACAAGCTGACGCCGTACGAGCACCACGAGATCTTCAACTACCAGCAAATCTATTTCATCGGCGCGAACGCGAAGAAACGGCCGGGCATCATCGGCCGGCCGAACAACAACGAGTACGACAATGAACAGGGCTCGTACATTCATGTGCCGCACGACCACGTGGCTTATCGGTACGAGGTTCTCCGCGTAATCGGCAAGGGCTCGTTCGGTCAAGTGGTCAAGGCCTATGATCACAAAACGCACGAGCACGTGGCATTGAAGATGGTGCGGAACGAGAAGCGCTTCCACCGTCAGGCGCACGAGGAGATACGTATACTGCGCAAGCTGCGCGAGCAGGACAAGGACAACACCATGAACATCATCCACATGTTCGACTCGTTCACCTTCCGCTGCCACATGTGCATCACGTTCGAGCTTCTCAGTATCAACCTGTACGAGCTCATCAAGAAGAACAACTTCAAGGGCTTCAGCCTCCAGCTTGTGCGCAAGTTCTCGCACTCGCTGCTCCTCTGCCTCGACGCGCTCTACAAGAATAAAATTATACACTGTGACATGAAGCCGGAGAATGTCTTGCTCAAGCAGCAGGGCCGCAGCGGCATCAAGGTGAACAGTCACGTAAATAATCCTATATTTATAGATATCGCGCGATTCTATTATTTTCTCAACAAATATATTTGGTTACTCTTCCAACTACCAAGTATTCAATTGAGTCTAATCGGCGAGTCGAGTAGACGTTTCTTCTTCGACTACGTTGTGAACAACTCAATTGAAGTATTCAATTGAGTCTAATCGGCGAGTCGAGTAGACGTTTCTTCTTCGACTACGTTGTGAACGATTATTTATAACAAATATTTTTCACAACCTTATAATAATTTCAAGTTCCATGATCGGATTTTAATCTTTAAAATGAAAGAAATATGGTTCAATTACGTTAACTTTAAGCAAAGGTACATTAATTTAAAATGGCCCGGTCGGCGAATACCAGTTAAAGAAATTTTGGAGCGAGTACTGAATTAGGATTAAATAGATCAAAATTTCAGGGTAAGGGCAATAAGAGAGTTAAAGAATGCTTAACATTAAAATATTAACTTTATTAGAAGTAGAATATATTTTGGTATTATAGAGTAAATCACGTTTTTGCATAAATCTATAAAATTTGTTTCTACAAATCACTTCTCATTTTGCGAATAAGAGAATTGAGATAAGATTATCGAAAAATGAATATTTTTAAAAATATTTTATATACATCGGAATAAATATTTCATATCCCTTGTATCTGTTTTCATGTATTTTGTTGTGAAATATTTCGAAAACATTCACTTTGCGCCTTTATGTTAATATTCTTTTACGCTGAACGATAAGAGAAATCGATTTATATTAAAAAAAGAGTTATTCAAAGATGCAAAAAACCAACTATATTACCGAAACCGTTTTTATCTCTGTTGTGATTAATTATTTTACCTGTGTATCAAACGTGTTTGCTCCTTTTAATAAATATTATACGCTTGCAAACTTTCTATGGACAATATATGAAAACAATTTTACAAATAAGATTTATAGCCTGTAAAGATAAATAAGCGTATACATATCGCGCAATCGAAAGGCTTATAATTTATCGCCGTGTCCCAGAAACCGATATTTCGGGATTAAGCCACGATATTTCGCTGCTGCTAAATGCAAAGCGCGGGATTCGCGAAAATCAGGTGATCAGACAAACAATAGAATTGCGATTACTATAAATCGCATGCGTTAAAGTGCGATTAAAGAATTTACCGCGATCCAAAATCTTTCTTCAAATTTTTTTTTTTTCGAAACTAGAGAAAATCTATTTTGAACTTAACAGAATTGAATTTAGATTTGTTTCCATCTAAAGTTTTTAAAGAAATAAATTAAATGTCACTGTTGTACACCTGTTGACAACTTCATGCATGGAAATCTTTACTTTTGTAACTATATAGTTTGACGTGAATTTCTTTAACGCAACGAAGGCACAATGTTTGACAGCAAATTTATAACTTGAGGCACATGGGTGCACTCGACACATTCTTTGATATTTGCGATAATATTTGCGAAACAAAAGCTCGAGTCTCTCTCGAAGGCATCTTGAGAAACCACTTATTATTTCTCGTAACGCGATCCTTTATTGACATTCCTTTATACACTTTGCATGCGGAAGCCTTTACTACTCCACGTCGGAACAACAAATATGTCGGTGTACCGACGATATGCACTGAAATCATGATACGAGTGACGTTCCAGGAAATACGAACTAAAATTCATATATCGTTTTATTTATATACTCCATCTTTTTACTTGCTTTTACTTACTTTGTTCTTTTATACGTTCTTATCCCGTCAAAAATATTACGTACAGAAATATTTTTTAACATCCTTTTTTACGCCCTTTCTTTGCACGAGCGCCTTTATTTTTGTGAGACTGGGGGTTTTCAATTAATGCTAATCGATATTCCGCTTTGCCCACGAAACATTTTCCATGTACACAGCAGCCGCGACCTTTAGCCTCGACTGTTCCCGAACGGGGATCCGATATCGGTGAAATCGTACGGAAGGCTGTCGGAGGCTGCCTTTTCCCCTTGCGAATAATATGACACGCCGCGCTTCGAAAAAAAATCAGCCGAGTTCATGGCTAATCGACAAACGGAGAGAGGACGCGCGCGAATATTGTCTGGCCATTGCGCAGGCACAGTCACGAAATACGCATAAACTCTCTTAACCCGTTTGCATTATCAAGATGAAAATATGTTTGCTAATTGTATGATGAGATTCGTTAAATTCGAGTTAATCTGAGAGCTTGAGTCATAACATGAATTTTTTTTTTTAGTTTTCTTGAATTTAATTTGAACTAAAATTATATCTGTGCGATTGTGGTGTGATATAAAATTGTTAAAAAAATTTTTTTTTACGATATACACAGGGAATTACGAAAAAAAAGAATACTATTCCTCCGCTGGCAATATTGGGACCATAATCGGTATTCGAGAGTCCAATGAATTTTCGGATAATTTCTCAAATAAATATTTACTCAATAAAAAAAAATGATATATAAATGATTTTTGTATCAAATAAATATATTTACATTTGGTAAATATGTACTTAGAACACTTAATATTTATTAAGATTTAGTATTTTTTTCAATATAAAGTTAAAGGCACAGTCGATTTTTTTATTGTGAATTTTGGTAGATAAACTTAAATCTGTACAAAATAAGTAAAATATAATCCAATTTCTATGATAGTAGAAATTCTTTGTTAAAACTTTTACAATTTTATATAAGAATTTTTTCACATTTTTGTACAGTCCGAAATAATATAAAAATGTGCATTAAAGTTGAATGACAAATATGATTTTATTGAAGTATCTAAGAAGAATTTAACTAGAGAAAATAATTTTGTTAGACTATCAAAATAAATATATAGGAAACACACAAACATGATGAGTAATGCTGCAATCAATTTTGGTTTTTTCTTGTTCTGTATAATTATTTAAGATTATTATTTATAAAACTTTATCATATACTCTGTCCACATTTTTACCAAATATAGATCAATGTGATTAAACTTACGTTTCATCTTTTTTTTTAATTCTAAAAATTAGAGAAAGCTGAATTAAATCAAAATTAATGTTAGTCTGCATTAATAAAAATCAGGGTTGCCACAGACCTGGAAAACCGGAAAAAGTCAGGGAAATTGAAATTGGTCATGGAAACTGGGAAAAGTCAAGGAAAAATGTAAAAAAGTCTGAAATTTCGAAATTTACTCACAATTCCCTGAAACTGCTCCTATTCCAAATAATTATTATAATTTTTTAAATATTATTTCTGACGTTTATAGTTAAATACGTTCAAAATTTGTGTACTTTAATCGATTTTAATAAAATAATTAAAATTTATATTTTATTCAGTATTTTTATTTAATCCCCCTTTTTCTCGTCATAACTGCATTTTTTTTTCCAAAACTAATTTATTTTTTGCTGTCTTGAATTTGCATCCAAAATTGTATTATGCTATTAAGCTTTTTTTCCGTTGTTTTTAAGGGCTCACATATGTTTCTCGAACTTGAAAAGTAGTCAAAATGTGATGAGAAATTGTAAGAAAACTATTGGGCTAATCGATTTCATTTTTTTTTATTTTAAAGGTGAACTCTTAAGGAGCATAAAACGTATAAATAAATTTAAAAAATAATTAAAAACATATTGGCGGCTGCGTCCAGTGGCGTAGAACGTGTTTTTTTTATTGGGTCAAACGGTGGGCATGATTCAGCTCGTAATTCTTATCTGAAACAAAAATTTAAAATTTTGTATTATTTTTTAGAATCATAGTTATCGTGTTACGAGAGAAATTTGAAAAAAACAAAATTACGGAAATGGTCATAATTTGAATGAAAAGTCGTAATTTTCACCAAACAAAATTGTCTATTTTTTATTGCTATTCGAAAATGATTAAATTTAATCAAAAAAGCTCTCGTAACACGATAGCGAATCTAATTTAGAATACGTATGCCAAAAATAAAGTTAATCGGACGAACGGTGAGGCAGTTATCCTGTCCACCGTTCTGAAAAATGCTGTTTCGAGAAAAACGCGTTTAAAGTTTTTCAAGGATAAAATAAAAAATTTTTATTTACGCTTAATCAGCGATGCCTGCACCATAAAGTTGGCCCTCCTCTGCAGTATGACCCTCTTCTGACTGCAATCTGCTCTATATTTCGACGACAATACACCCTACCGGTAACCGGTTAGAATTCTGATCTGCGGAGCGACCCGACTAGTTTCGTTAAAGCAGCTTCGTCAATAATTCGAATATTGAACTCGTTCTGGTCTTAAAATATTTCGAAGATATGTACCTTTTAAAATAAGCAAAAAAAAATCGATTTTTTGAAGCTGAGAAACATGTGTGAGCCTTTAATAATATAGACTAGCTTTCTTTTACAATTCTTGAGTCTAAATGTAAAAATGTACATATTTTATATTACTCATGGAAAATTTTCCAGTTTTACCTGGAAAACCTGGAGAAGTCGGAATTTTTAAATTCATTTTCTGTGGCAATAACCCTGAAAATAAACATTAACAATACCGTGTTAAACTAATTAAGTAGTTGCTTCTAATGTTGCACGTTTAATGTGATACTCGATTTATCGAAACGGTCCGTAAAGCAAGGCGATAGTCACAAAGGGAAAATTCCTGCAGCACAACTACTCATCTCAGATACTGCGATGCACTTAACACTATATTGTTTTACAACGGTGGAAACGGGGGTGTATATACGTGGGCAGTGACAGAAATTCTTCGGTACAATTCTGTGATTCCCAAGCGGTCGTGGCTCGCGAATCTGCGGGGGATTCCGATGTACATTCGCGTTGAAAATGTTGGTCCATTACCAGTGGTACCTCTGCTTCCATTTACGCTTTTAACGGTAATTGGTAGAATGTATGGTTTTCAAGATACATCGTGTTCTTCCTCTGCCGTCGTCGTAATTTACATTGCGTATGGAATTAACAGCCTAAATATATTCTCTACGAAGTCTATGAATATTTGACGTTGTTGGATATGTAAATCGGATTTGATTAACGCGCGTACATTGAATCAAG